TCGTTATCATGCATACAAATAATTTCGTTTGCATCGCGAAGGAGTATACCAGTTATATTTCATAAATACTTGTAGACAGACGGATAGAAAGGCGCGCCGAAGTAGCGTGCACTTTCTCCGAATCACATTAGAACTTACTAGAAGTATCTAAATAGAAAGATGGTTATTTAAGTAATTAACAAATCTATTCTTGTTGTATTATTTCTTCATCTAGGATGTTAATATTAACTTTTTATATATTTCTCTTCTCAGTTGTGACTTCCATAATTATGGTAGTTGGACAGGATGTACGCGGAAAGAATTTTTTGCTGGCAAATCTAAACGTTTGACCAGATACAGATCTGAAAATAATTTTATCGAGCCTTAAAAATTATTACGTACGATGTTCAAATTGATCGCTAGAAGGTCAAAAATGTTTGCAGTATGATTGTCATATTTAAGCGTCTTACATAATAATTTTGACGATTCAAAACAAAATCATTTTCAGATCTGCCAATTTTTTAGATTTGCCAACGAAACTGTTTTTCTCGTAACAAATCTCGCAAACTGTAATAATCCATGAATTTCTTTCGAATAATTCGAAATCGAATTGATAATACGACAAACCGGTGACAACTCATTCGAATGCATCGGCAGGATGAGTACCTCTGCTCAGGAAGGGTGCATAACTTCGATTCACGGTGTTAGACGGCATGTCTGTATGGGTATACTAAGACTTGTCTCCATAGAACTAGCACAGCTGTTTCGTATCTTTTTCTCTCGGTTGGCCTACCGACTCTCATCCCTTGCATCGGTCTGTCCCCTTCCATCCCGAGCGCATCGACCCTTCCCGTTCGTAAACGCAAATCCTGCATGCCCTTCAAACAGGAAGAACGCAGGGGATACACGACTCAAACTTAGGAGGCAACTACGTCGTTGGCAACGTTCCATTTTATAACAAGTTTCTACTTCTCGTTTTGTCCGTGTGGATTAATGGCGGCGCAATTAAATATTCCTTGTTCGTATTTCGTATCAAAATTAAAGTACGTAAAGGCAAATCTAATATCCTCTAATTTTACTTTCCTTTTCTCATTATTTATAAGCAACAATCGATAGAAAAAAATTTTTTAAATTAAATCGCCAAATTTTATGCATGATATACGTACAAATGTAGAAGATAACGTGAGTTTCATAACTTCCAATTTTTACATTTCGTGCGATCTCTCTCTCTCTCTCTCTCTCTCTCTCTCTCTATTTTTCTCTCTCTCCCTGGCAAGCGGAATAAAATGTATGAATAAAACATATTTGACATTTTAATGCGTGAGTTGCATAACAGGTTTGCCAGGAACTTTTGGAAGCTGACCCAGTTTCTGCCGGTTGTACCTCAAATCCTCGCGTCGAGAATTACTTTCGTTCAATCCTATCCTATCACACACAAAAATGACACCGTAATGAGAATGGCTAACTAATTAACATAGTCAGAAAATCACTCTTGCGATTGCCCGCTTCTATATTACAAATATTTCTCTCCGAACATTTAATCGCCGTTTATCAATACGCTCGTGACGAATTATCATTGGCTTATCAGCCGATGCTGTATACTTCACTTTTATCAAAAAATAAAGCTACAAATAAAGCTATAAATAATGCAAGAAGCTCGATTATATACTATCTGAGATGTAATAAAAATTACTTTGAAAACAACATATGTATAAATACATATTTTCTAACATGCTAATCTGTAAAAAATAAAAATAAATTGAAATGAGTTCTTAAATCCAAAAAAAAATCTTAAATTCTTCAATTTTGAGAAGCATTGAAATATAGCTAAAAATTCCTTAAAATTCGGGAAATTTCTCTTCCGTAGAAACGCATTATCTGCATTTTCCTAGGCAATTCGTGGTAAAAATTCATTCCACACGTTTTTTCGAGATTCTCGCTGGCAAATACGCATGCACTTGCTCCTCCGCAAGCTTTCCCAGAATTTTTAAGGACAACGATGCTTCCGCTTCGTACGCAACTATCGACGCGCGAGTTCGCTCTTACGACAGGACGCGATGTTACCTACTCAACGTGTAATTCACTTAATAACGTTCTCTCCGTCTTTCTCCCTTTTCCTCTCTTCGCTCTCACTCCCGCCCACTCCTCGCGAGCACTTCGTGCGAGAGTTAATTACCTGTTACACACTCCGCAGAGTAGAAAATGTCAGTCCTCCAATCTTCGTCTATACGCATGTCGAGTTTCCTAGACGATTTTTCGTTGCGCGATCGAGAACTCGCGAGAGAAAAATCGAAAAATCGTCAAGAGCGCATCGCTCATTTAACGTAAAAATAATGTACCTAACACGCACATTGCATATAAATAACTCGCCCATTTTCGTTCAATAATTTTTTATGAAATGCATAAAAGGAACAATGGGAGAAGTTTCACGCCATGTCCCGAAATAAAAGCTAGTGTGCACTGCATACCTATAATACATCTCTATCGACTTATGCTATATCGCATTACAGCTCGATTCTCGTACACGTCGGGCGTGCGTACAGGATAGGTAATTTTCTCGCCGGCACGCGATGAAGCGAGCCACGTCCGCGTCGCCGGGAAGAGCCCGCACGAGGACGACGGGGATCAAGGGAATTAACACCGTCGATCGGGGCGGAAACGCAGGCGAGAAGTCGGTCGCGTTTTCCCTTGATCTCGGCCCGGTAGCGACGGTCGCGCGAGCGATATATACATTTCGCTGCCAGCACGGTTCCTTCCGTTACGTGCGAGTACCCCGCTCCCCGAGATTACGAGGTCTCGTGCCTAGATCCGGTCGCGTCGCGTCGCGTCGCGCCGAGAGGCGGCGGACTCGTCGGGCGGAGCCGCGGTTTGAGCACCGCTGCGCACAGGAAACGTTTGTAGTGCGATTAATACCGACGAGAGGCGTGTACTATCCGGACCGCGCACGTCGGCTGTCAGCTGTCGTCGAAGAGGGTCCAGGAGCACCGGCGAGCGAGCGAGCAAGCGGCGGCGCGACCTTGCCGGCCAGTTGTCTTCGCTCCGGTCGGCTAATTAATGCCGCAACGCCGCGCGCGCGATACGCACGTCACGGCGACGTCGGCCGTCGGCGATAAGCCGGCGGCTCGCGACGCGACGCCGCTGCGTATCGACGCGTATCGCCGAACTGCGGCTCGCATTACCGCGACAAGATCGGTTCGACACGCTTTCGACGCTTCGGCGAACCTTTGACTTCGGGACCTGACACGCGCAATTAAACCCGCGACTCGCTCGATCGGCCCCGTGTAATTCAATCAATATAATTCGAGCTAATTTAGGTTAATTGTTTGCCTAATCTTGCCGGTTCAATCTAATTGTATTAGCCGCGCGAGCGGATAAGACGGGGCAGATTGGGGACGAAGGCACCGCGAACGATTTGTTAGAATATCGCGGAAATCGAGAGATTGAGAAATTGTAAAAGGAAAAATCCAACGCGAGACATAGAAAATAGAAATGAGATCGACAATCATTTATAGATTGTCGATCTCATTTCTATCCACCTATTGTGATTTTAAAAAGGCTAAAAAAAGGAGAACGTTCATCTTTTTAAATATGTTTATATCCACGGAAGTAGGATAAATATTTTTACACTTCAGTCAAGTGTTTTTTATAGTAGGTTTTTTTTTATTCCGATCAAGATTGCTACCGTATTGCCAGTGCAATATGTTTAGATGCCGACAAGAACTGCGAAATCACGATGCGTCGCACGCGAGCTCCCCGATCGCAAAAGAGTAACAAGTGGGAAACCGATTAAACGAAGCCGCGGCTAACATTCCCTCTCGATTAAAGCAGCTTGGAAAACTCGTTTGCCCGAACTGTGTCACTGTCACGGTAATTGGCGAAAAAGTCGAGTTTCTTCGCTGCGAAAAGTCGTATCAGCACGTGGCAGTTCCTAAAACCTCGTAACAAAAAGAAAAAAAAAAGAAAGAAGCCTATCAAACCTTTTTTTTTAGTTCTTTCTATAAAACTTTCCTTTCCTCCTCATTTTTACTGATCAAGAACATTTGGCAATGATACATTCATAGTTATAACGCAGGAACCTGTTATTTAATAATATTCATTTAAAAAAAAAAAACATTTTCCACAAGAAGAATTACGAGGAAACTCTCATGAATCGAGGCTTAATGATCACACGATTAGACGAAAGTTTCAACATGCATGTTTCGCTGCACCTGAGCGAAATATCTTTATAATCGGCGTACAGACCGACTTGCCCAAGAGACAAGTTTTAGTCTATATGAGTCATTAAGTCATTAAAAGACTGGAATGTTCGATCGAAGTCTAGACGCGATCCTGGGCGGCGTGACAGTCGCCGTGGATCCCCGCGACGCGTTCCGGATTTCTGTGAGTCGCGAAACGCGCGCGATAGTCGCGATAAGCACAAGTGTATTTCTATGCAGAAGCCCTAGGAACCCATTCTCCGCTCGGGCGCAATCTATTATTACGGACCACTGCGAGTTTAATGCGCCTGGCTTATCTGCGTTCACCGTCGGATGCGTGCTATCTCCCGCATACCCGGCCAAACTGCCTCGGGGCATTCGGTATACGAGTTCAGGTAAAGCAAAGTGTTTCTCGGTTGGCGCAACCACTCCGCCAGGTACCGCACGTCGCAAACACCGGAATGTGGTTGACGTTGCCGTCTGTGTAAGAATCAACACACGCGAAAACGAAATGCAAAGATGCTGCGCCGAGCGATTCTATCTATAAAAATTATTGACATTTTGGCTGACGATTAATTGCTTAAAAAAGAATGGCCAACCGATAATCTGTCCTCGAGTAAAGAATTTTACGGTACGAGAAGCATATTTGATTTTTTTAAATAATAAATTTTAATATATAAATTAAATATATATATCGTTAATAAATTTTAATCTCGGCGATTAAGTCGAAAAATTTATATTAGGATAATATATTTGGACTTTGTTTCCGATAGAAATTGTAAATATCGATTATCGGGTAATATTGATATTTTGGTAAATTTTTAGTCCCTTTAGTCCCTCCTACTCTTGCACGCGGATCATGGAGAAAGAAGCGAGAAGAAGGAAACAGGCGTGGACGAGAGGATATGGGTATTTACGATGAACGCAAAAACCACAGAGCCAGGGAAGGAGAAATATCGACGGACGCCTAATTTGAACCAGTCTCGAGCACATAGTCGTGTCTTCATCGATCGACCGTCACCTTGAATTAAGCGTCTCGAGAGAGCCGGCTAGTCGGTCGCAAGAAAGAAAGGACGAAAGGAAGAAAGAAAGAGAGAGTAAATTTTTAATACGACAGATAGTAGAGAAAATTTGATAATAGCATAAAATACGGAGATACAGTCTTGTTACACTTGTATCACTTTTCTTATTCTAGCAAATATCTAGGAATGTATAAATATCCGGAAAAACTAGAATTATATTCCAGAGATTTTTAAACTCGTATTATATAATTTTTTTTATAGCAACGTCTTGAAAAAATTTTTTTAATTATAATTTTTAACGTTCGAAATAAAGAATAAAATTGTGCCAAATTTTTCGGATCGCAAATTTTTCAAGTCCTAATTCCAATTCTCCTACAAATCTGGTATTTTTTTGAAAATGAGAAAATATCTTAATATAATATTTTAATGAGCAAGTTTATCTTCTTTATTGATTTGAATGCGTCTATTAATACGCAAAAAATCCCAAGTAGATATTTGAAACTTTTTTCGAATTAACCGTTTGAAACGAATTCGTACATGGATATAAAGAGAAAATATGGCAGATTAATGATTAATGATAAGATGAAAAAGTTCGTAATAACTAAAAAAAGTAATCAATCTTTAAAGACTTCTCTTTTCTCAAACTTATGTTTTATTAAATTATATACATGATATGTCAAGTCACAATTTATGGGATTGTCTTAACATTTTGAACATACATTTAGAAAAATATTTCCGGTCTATTAGTCAATGATTTCATTGATATTTTTAATTTAAAAAAATATACCAAATTGTACCAAATGTATCAATCGTACCAAAAATTGGAAAAAAATTCAATACATTAAGAAAGAAAAAAAATTTTTTTTAGACGCGAAATTATGCGGATTTTTTTTCTTATTTTTAATAATTATTTTAAACAAATTAATTTTCTTTGTTATATTGTGCCACATGTTGGCAACATGTTTGCCACGTTAACTCTATTTTAATATAGATTAGATTAGGTTGTTCTTTCAGAAATTTCTTTCTCTCCAAATTTTAATCAGCAAATAATTAATGTTATATCGTAGATCATTATATCGTAGAATATGTAATCTTCTTCTCGTTGCTGTCGCTTAAATCAATTTACAATAAATTTAATAAAATTTATGATTAGATGCGCAAATAGCTTTACCTTCCTTACTTGATATGCTCTGATCAAGTGTCGCGTCATCGTGTGAGAAAGTCCGTGGATTAATCTTGATGATAATGATCAGGATTGAAAGTGATCTCGGTCACGATTTCTTGGAAAAATTGTTTGATGTTTATTTTCTATCTTTCTAAACACTTTCACTTTATATGAAAAATTGTTTTACGACATAGAAAACATATCAAATTCACGATTTCATAATTGATCGCGATTGCAATACAAGTCATCGAAATTTATTATCGTGTTGCTAAAATACGTGTAAAATTTATATTATTTTTTATATTTTTATTGCATTAATAATTACTTAATCATTATTGCAATAATTATAATGCTAGATAAAAATGTATTTTATGTAAATTATTATATGTAAATCATTTATCGATATTCTTATATTCTTCGATACACAACGAGACAAAGCTCTTATCTTCACCAAACTTCTTTGAAAATGAATAAAAGTATGTTTCGTCGTTCTCCCTTCTCAATGACTAAACTCGACATAGATATTGGATTAGGGAAAAAGTCTTTTTACATATAACCAACAGATAGAGATCTGATTGATTTTTTATGTGCCACTCTTGTGTGACATATTAGGTTATTATATATCATTGGAAAGGTGCTATTTCATGTAACATTTTGTGTAACAAATAGATTGATCATAGATTTGAATGATACAGACGCATTCAATCAAATTTGAAAATTCGATATCAAAGATGCACATCGTTCTAGTCGGCCTATTGTGGAAAATGTCGACGAAATCTTCCAAAAAATTGAAGAAAATCATCATGTGAGCAACTATGACATAGCTAAGGAAACATTGATTATAAAATCATTTTGGGATACTTGCGTAAAATTGGATACACAAAAAAACTCGATGTTGAGTGCCACATGATTTGATGATAAAAAATTTAATGGATCGAATTTTCATTTGCGAATCGCTGCTGAAACGAAACAAAATTGAGCCGTTCTTGAAAAGATTGATAACGAATGATGAAAAATCAATAACATATAATAATAATGTTCGGAAAAGATCGTGATTGAATCGAGGTAAGACACACGAGATAAGACCACAAACATTCGCAAAACCCAGATTGACGCCAAAGAAGATGATGTGCGTCTGGTGGAACTGGAAAGTCATCCATTATGAATTGCTGCCGCCAAACAAAACAATTGATTTTGATCTCTACTGTTCCGAAAAATGGCAAAAGGTTATCGATCAAAACGGTACATATTTGGTTTAATAAAAAGTTGTAAACAATTTAAAAAATATGTTTCAATTATGTTCCAACTTGTAAAAAGACTTTTTCCCAATATTATTCAAAGAAAAAAAACTAGTAGTGTCACAAGATCAGGTCATAAATGCTTATATGGAAGCGCAAAATCTTCTTGAATTTAATGCAGTATTCACCTTTTTAAATAAAAAATGCATAAAATTGCATCTAAACTAATTTTATGAATGAATTTAATCTCTACTCACGATTAAATTATAATGTTAATGTCCTTTGCAAAAATTGATGTTGCAAAGAATATCATATTTAATTAAGATAGCATTGCCTCAAAAATAAAAAAAACGTTACACGAGAGAGAAAGAGAGAGAGAGAGAGAAAGAGAAATTGTCTTAAAAATTCTCTTATTATAATAGAGCCTGCTCTGAACATAAAGAATGTGATAAAAATTGATAGTGAACAATTATTCTATTATCCATTATCCTAAAAGCTTGAGATTAGATAAATCCTTGAGCTTAAGTAAATTTTATCTCCTATATTTATTTATTAGATTATTCGAGAATCATCTAGTATTTTTCATAAATTTTCAAACATTTTTAAACTAATAAAAAATAGACGTTCTTAATGAATTTAATTTACGCATTACATATATCACATACCATACAGTTGTATCAATTTGTTATCAATATTATACGTGTTTATGTGTATTTTTTTTTCGAGACGTCTTAATCGAAAAAAAATATTCAAAAAATGTCACAGAATGCTTTTATATCATCAAAACATGTTTTCTATTTTTAATTTCACCGTCGGATTATAATAGAATTTATTTATTTAGTCAATCGATTTGTCATGTCATAATAAAAAATGATCTATAAATAATTTAAAAAATGTTGAACATGCTTTTCAGTCACTTCATCACAATTCTTTTATTATGCTAAGAATACATTCTTAATTGGTCATTAGTAAAATCGATCCACGAAGATAGCGTCAATGTGAAGTCGAGACTCTCAATCAATATTTATATTTAAGAAAAGCTTTATAAAAAAAAATTGTACACTTTAATTTTATATGCTCTAAGCTACTTAAAAATTTTTTGATTAATACACGTTTTTTGATTAATAGAAAGACATTGTTTTTTAATAATGGAAAATTAAATGGAAGGTTAATGATAATGATAATTAAATAATTAATTAAAAATTAATAAATAATACATAATTATATATATTTTACATTTTCTTATTTCTGCCATTATATACTAGTATACTAGTATATAAAATTCTAATATCAGAAACAGAAAAATCACATAAATCTTTTTTCTTGCAATATACGTCAAAACAAATTATTTTTTTATATGTAGTCAACTCGCGTTTAGTAGTGCAAATTGATGAAATATATTAAAAACTTTTTTCGTTATCTTGTTAATAGATACAAGTACAATTCAATTTACATGTGTTCTACATTCTCAATGAAAATATTCAAATATGAATAATAACTTAATTAACACTTACAAAGAGCTGTTTATTCATCAACAAATCGAGAAAAGTTTTTTGCTACGTTTCATCCATAAATGTTTATGTGACAATATAAAAAAGCATACGTTAGGAAAAAACTCGCGTTTCTTGTTTCGTTAAAATACGACACAGTTGCAGTTAGAACAGTCGTGTCGTATTCTTTAGCGGAAGATATCTTTGTTACAGGAAAGATAACAACAACAAATAGGCAGATATCGAGTCTTTCGAAGGGTCAAGACGGATTCCGTCAACATGGCAAATATCAGGAAGCGTAGGTGCGCAGGTAGTCTATAAGTTCAGATGCAAGGGATACGCGACATGAGGGACGAGATACAGAGTGGGACGAAGAGCGAAGGGAGGGGGTCGCCGGTGTGCCGGCTTCGAGTCTGCACTGTCGTCCTGCAATAACCGTTCGCTCTTTGTCCGTTCAGCTGCCTCCTGCTTCTTCAGTGGTTGTCAACCGGCCTTGCCGTAGACCGTACGACTGTCCGTCTCGTCGCCTACTCGTACCCGTATAACGTAAAGGCCCGCTCACGTTTCTCGATTCTTAGACGATATTGCGTAACGTTGCATCATTTGAATTGTTACGAGCGAAAAGATGTTCACCACTCTCGGTGAAATTCATAATAAAATAATATAAACGATTTATGGTATCGGGCAGATTTATTGTATAAACATTGTATCTATAAAATCTATTCCCTATTCTTTATATTTCGAAAACAGTTCAAAATTATAAAAAATTACGAAATATATGTTCAATAATTTCAAGGGATTACTTTTTTAAGAGGGTTGGAGAGGAATGTCCGATGATCAAATACGTATTTCGTGATTTTTTATAGTTTTGAATTGTTACTAAATAGGAAATAGGAAGAGACTTTATAAACAGCTTGTATATAAGTCGGTTTGTTTAATAACTAAATAAAAAAAATTAAACAGCTATCTGATTGTCAAGCTATAATTCAATTGTATTTTATTACATAACAACAATATACATAGCTCTTCTTGAATAGAAAAAGTCAAATATAAATACTAGCTACCAGTAATGATTGCTTTTTTGTATGTAAGTTTATATACATGTATTTAATCACATGTTCTATAATCGGTTTTTTTATCACTTTTTTTCAAATCATTGC